CGCCTAAAAACTACCACCATTTTACGCGATACCGGATACCGCCAAAAAGGTACCGCCGTGTTGTGTACCGCCAAAAAAACACCGCCATATTGGCTACCGTCGAAGCTATACCGCCATATTGGCTACCGCCCACAAAAAAATGCCAAATTGGATACCGCCACAAAGGTACCGGCAAAAGGTCAGTGTTGGTTAAACGATTGAACAGGATGATCACCTGATGGGAAGAACTGGAGTTCAATTCTCGCCAATGTCATATTTTTTTCCGAATCGTCTGGAGTTCATTTTTTATTTTTTGTTCCTCTTCGGTAGAACCTCGATGGTGTGCACTGTGCACTACTGTCGCATGGACCACAGCAGCAGCAGTGTAGATGCACACACGCACCCACCGCACAGCGCGTGTGATGCAACAGAACGATGAGCAATTTATCCGCGAGTGTTAGTGCTTCTTCTAATAGTGCGGAGGCTGCGAATGCTGGTGTTGCTGATTCGGGGACGCCTTCTTCTGGCAATTCGGTGGTTGCCATCAACGATTCGGTGGTTGCTGAAGAAGAAGAGGAGGTGGTGTTGCAACCCCCACCACCCCAGCCTGAAGCCACGTTTCCCTTTGCTGCTGTAGACTTGTCTTAGCGTTTTTACGTTTTTACGGTACTTGGTTGGTCTGATGGTTGGTCTGATATATATAAAAAAAAAAATCAACATGCCTACGCCATCCGGTGATTTGTGATTTTGTGATTTTGTGTCTCAGCCTCTTATGCTTCTGTCGTCTTTCGTATTGCAGAAGGCTGGACAATTTACTATACTTCGAAGTGTATATTTTACATGTAATCGCTTTGTCTACATACATTGCGTGCTTTGCATTTCTGGGGTGACATGGTGGGGAAGAACACAAGAATATACTCCGGAGTTGTCAGAAAAGATATATATGCACCTAGTCTCGCCGGAAACGACTCACGGAACACCGCTGCTGTAACATAACTTGTGCCGGACAGACAATTGCGAACCGCCGGCGGCGTTCCCGATATTATTCGCGTTACCGGCAACTGCCGAAGGCGATACCGCCATGTTGCGTACCGCCGAAGGCGATACCGCCGAAAAAGCAGATACCGGCAACGGCCGAAGGCGGTACCGCCGTATTTCGGACCGCCTAAAAACTACCGCCATAATTCGCGCTACCGGCAACCGCCGAAGGCGGTAATTTACCGCCGAAAAACCAGATACCGCCTCCCGCCAAAAAACTACCGCCGTATTTCATACCGCCGAATCTGTTACCGCCCCAAAAAACGCTACCGACGAATACCCTGAGATTTTTCCCCCATAAATCGCGATACTGCAAATCTTCGCGGAGATATATTGTGAGCAAATCTTGGGTCAAAATGCCAAGATATAATTGCAAGATTATGTTTCCATAAAGAAGGGTCTTATTATTTTAAAAGACCGTGTGTCCGCACATACTCCGAAATGTATCCACACATATACTACCCAAATACCCCGTACATACGCGTCCCACATTGAAAATACGTTTGCAAACTGAGGGAGATTGCATGCCCTACGATTAAAAGGGTGCCACACACAAAACGCCCGACCAGTACCTAACACATATCATCTGCACCTTCCCAACATAACATATATGAGACACACAAGACAGCTACCAAACTGTCTTGTTGAGCCTGTTACCCGCAGGGGAGATGTCCCTATATGCTGTCTGGGAAATCGTAGACATACAGGTACTTTCTGACGCCATGAATCCATTGCTAATCTATCTCAGACTCTTTTCTATGATAGAGATGGTTTCGTTGTGTCATATTAAGAAAAATAAAAAAAAAGATGTGCGGCGTGTCGTCCAGGGGGGTCGCCAGGGTACAAGGATACAGGGATGGTGTGAGACAAGTCGCCACCATTCCGTCAATACTCCATCATTTGGCAAACCGTAAAAAGCGTTCGACTCTCACACATACAGAGCATGGTCCTCTGTGACCCGTTGCGTACGGTACACCCCCAAAGCCAAGCCAGGCGCACTGCAGTAGACTCCAGTCGGTTGCAGGCGGAGTACAAAACACAGGGTCACACCGTCTACACAGTCGATAACTTTTGCTACCTCACCTTTCACAGTCCAAGATGCTACCCAAAGCAGGAGTACGAGTAGCTTCATCGATTGAGCACACCGGCACCCTCGACAGGTAGGCAGGTCCCAAGAGATGTTGATCTGTTGCCGGGGTACTCCTTGCCCTGGGTCAGGCGGCGGAATTCATGTGTGCTGCTGGAAAAAAAAAAAAAGCGGCCGCCCATTGCGGGCATCCCCGGCCATCCCCCCCCCCCTGTGATCGGCCTACTTGTATGGTTATTTTTTTTATTGTATAGTCAATAGTCTTTGGCTTGCTCGGCCCGTGGTGCATCTGCAACCAGAGTTCTCGTTGCTTGCGAACAGCACAGCAGAGAGGCAGAGGAGTCACGAGCCAAAACATGTTGGCCGCGGGGCGTTCTATTCCTGCGGCGACAGCGGTTCGCCGAACCGCTGCTGCGAAGAGTGCCAGCGCTTTCGTTTCGAGAGCTGGTGCCGCTGCTGGCCGCGGCCGCCCCTCGTCCAGAACGCTATCCTCCGAGGGCACAGGCACGCCCGGCACGGTAGCTGGTGCCCGAGCTACGGCGTCTGCTGGTGGGTTCCGTCTCCGTGCTTCTGTTGACGCTGCCTGTTGTGCTTGCTTGCGTCCGTGTGTGATAGATTTGAGCAGCACACCCGAGGGTGTGTGCGACCGGGCATGCCGGACCTTCGATTCCAATGTACTGCTGTAGACATGTAGACATACCCCAACCTCTGCTGCACTGCTGTTGGACGATCCGGAGGCGGAGCAAGTTCAGCACAGCAGTACGTTCTGTGGGCGCAAGTCCGGCGTGACGATTGTTTCCACACTTATTGAGGATTGGTTTGCGTTTCGTTGCACATGCTTGGCCTAGAGCTGATGAGTGTTTTCGTCATCCCCTGCTGCCTTCAAATCGAGTTCGAGTTTCGGATGCATGTGCCTTTGCACGTTGTACTTGTAGTTTTGGCAGCAACCCGCAGCTGATATGCTAAATGAGAAATAGACAGCGGAGCACACGTGCGAAGGTAGAGGTTCAAAACATGGGGTCGTCTGCAGACCACCATCAACGGCTGCAGTGGACCCTATTTGAAAAGACTCCGCTGTTCTTTAAGAAATTGCTCCCGTTGTGTCTGCAAGCATCTATGTAGCACGTAAGAGTGCACCGACCGTTCGAACCGCAACCACCGCTGACGAGACTGCAACCGGCAGTGTTGCTCATGACCGCCGCACCAATAGCCCTCGGGTACCAATTAAGCACTCATCACACCCGGTCCCTCCCTGGGGCCCCTCATCATCTACTAGGCTCGTTGCCAGCGTAGCGCGGCGGCCTCTCGGGCTGGATCGGGGCAGCTCTTCGTATGCATAGACATAAAAGATGCTTTTTTTCCTCCACGAAAACTGGCTCTCCGTTGGACACCGGAAGGCCTTACACAATGTTCTACTGTTGCTTGCATGTGTACATGAGGTATCGTGCAACCTGACGGCTACAGCCGCGCTTTTTGCTGCCTTACCCCCTCACTCCCCCTACCACAACCGTCTGACAATGCTTCCGCTCTCTTCGTCTTTTCTCCACAGGCGCAGCGCCAGCGTCCCCTGTCGTTGGCGGCGGCAGCACCAGCGGCGGCGGCGGCGGCAGCGGGGGCGGGGGTGGAGGTGGGGGCGGGGGTGGGGGATCCGGCGTGGGTGGGGCGGCCGCGCGCCTGTTGGCGGGGGCTGTGGCCATCGTGGGCGTGGACATGTTGGCTTACGCGAAGATTCCGATCGTTAAGGACGCGGTGGACCACTACCTGTCCGGTCCACTGCCGCCCGAGGTGTACGACCTTTATCGCAGGCGAGTCGCGCGCGGGGGGGGGGGGGTACTCTTATGTTTTGCATTCCTTAACAATTAAAAAATTTACCCCAATCCCGGGGGGGGGAAAAAATCATGTTTTTTCCTGCCTTAACCGCTAAAACATTTAACACCCCCCTTCTTTAAAAAAACGGGCGTTTTTTCCGCAAGAACCAATCAACCTCCTTTCTAATCATGCCAAACGTGAATTACAAACGGGGGGGTTCCGAAGCCAAACCAAAAATTCAGAAGGTTTCCCTTTTTCCTGGTAAAACAAGGTGTTTAACAAAAACAAAAAAAGCTTTCCAACAA